CCCTAGAGGGGATAAAACAGGGAGGGAACTGATCATATCATTTTTAGGGGACAGGCCATACCCAGCAATGTTCGGGAGTTACTCCTGGCTCTGCACTCAGAAATTACTCCCAGTGGTGCTCAGGGGACCATATGGGGTGCTGGGGATTGAATTCAGGCTGGGCATGTGCAAGGCAAGGCAAGCACCTACCTGCTGTGCTAGTGTTCCAGCCCCAGGTGATCATTTCTTAAAATCACTGTCTGAGGTCATAATACCCAATTCTGATTCTCTCTACAAAATGCCAAAAAGTAGGCACTGCCAGGCTGCTGCCAGGCAGTCCTGTCAAGGAGTGTCTCTCTCTCTCTCTCTCTCCTCCCCCCTCCCTCCCTCCCTCCCTCCCCATGACCACCCCACCTCCCCCCAGGCAGTTCCCAGCCTTGCACACAGCTTGGATAAGGTGACCTTAGCAAGGTCAGGCAGCCTAGGAGTCTCCCCTAAGTCCCACTAGGAGTGATCCCTGCGTGCAAAGCCAGGAATCAGCCCTGAGCATTCCCAGGAGTTGCCCCCCACACTAAAGAAATACTAGCCCCCGAGTAGAGTTACCTCCATTCACCAAGGCATTTTATTTAATGCTAAAACACAGCTTTTCTAAATATGATATTCATTTCAGAGGTATTTTAGAGCTGGAGGCATAGTACAGCAGGCGGGCACTTGCATTCTGCTGACTTGGGTTCAGTGCCTGGCACTCCATATGGTTGCTCTGGCCCACCAGGAGTAAGACCAAGTGTGGTCCAAAAGAAAAAAGTATTCTGGAACGTGTAACACTTTCAAAATGAACTTTTTTTTTTTTGAGGAAATAGTTTTGATGTGGGGGCCATACCCTATAGTGCTCAGGGCTGACTCCTGGCTCTGCAACCTCCTGGCAGTGCTGGAGGGATTCCCCTGGTGCAGAGGATCAAACCAGGTAGGCCCCATGCAAGGCCAGAGCCCCACCTGCTGACTGTTGCTCTTGCCCTTAATACCAGAGGGGTGCAAACGGCCAGCTTCCAGTTGAAGAATGAGTGTTGGAATATGGCTCTAAACATTTCAGGTTTAACATTGGTTTGTCCTTTCTCCCTTGCCACAGGGAGCTTAGGTCTATCGGGTTGCACCCATCACAGTGCTCCCAAGTCACTCCCATTCCTCTGTGCTTATCTGTAACTTCTCTGTGTTCTCTTCCCCAACTGGTTTATCACCTTTTCCTAATCAGACCATGTTAACTTGTAAGGTCAGATCCTTCTAAGGACACTGAACTTGTATTGTAAGTTAAATATTGCCTTTCTCCTCTCCTATGTCTCCTATGTCTTTTGAATAGTTTACTTCAGAGCAATGTCCTTTTTGTATCGAAACAGGAAGACAGTTAATGCTATGATTTTGTAACTTGGGAGTTAACTGACTCCGAATAATCTCACTCCTGGACATCTGCTTTCTCAACTTAAGCCTCAGTTGCCCTTAGTTGCTGGCACTCCAAAAGCAGGGTCCCGACAAGGGACTGGACGGACCCAGGGCAAGCTGTGAGCTACCCTGACATCGAAATGGGCCAGGCCAAAGCGCCATAATACTTCACTATAAGTTAAGAGCACGGTCTGGACAAATTCTGTTGTGGTCCAAAGAGTAACAACTAGATTAGGACCCTAGTAGAGTTAGAAAAAACTAATCTGGCCTGAGCACTGTAGTCTGAGATCTATAGCAAGATGGCCCCCAGGAGAGCAATCCTATAAGCTTAAAGTACTCTGACTGTGTCCATACAAAATGACTAATACTATGAATGTATGTTTGTTGGACTAAGGAGAGGAAAAACACACTTATAGATGGAATTTCAGTCTTGGGAGGGTCATCTTACTGAATGAGAATCTGACCTAGAAGCTTCCCCTGAGGGAAGGACTTTACCTCTGTTGATTGTTTGACCACACCTATATGTAAGCCCCAATCCCTCATGCTCTTGGACTTAACTGAGGCTCTAAGAGTGGACTGGGGGAATCAGAAAGAGAACGAAGTAGAATGAGGAGGCAGAGACAGGAAAGAGAAGGAAGAAGGAGCAGGATCCAAGAGGAGGATGAGGGGGAAAGAGAGAGAGAAGCAGAAGGAGAATCAGGAGAATGGGGACGAGGCTGGAGTAAACTACAATTGATACCGACCAGCCGGGCCCTCGTTCCCTCCTTCGTCTGCCCATCGTCATCGGCCTCCCCGGGGTGGGAGTAGCAACAGAGACCACCGAACGCAGGTGGCAAGAGAGAGCCGCAGCAGCCTTTCGTAGTTTGTTTTTTGATTACACGAATGAGGACAAGCCAATAGGCTTAGAAACTATAACAGCATGAAGGGATAGACATACAATTGTCACGAACCAAGTCACAGGAAAAGAACGCTCGAGTAAATAGGGGTTGGAGGAGGCAATGCTGGACACTGCCCAGGACTGGTGGGCTAGTGGCCACCAGGTCCAAGTCTGGCAGAGCTGGGGGACTGGGGTACACCTGGTTGTTGTGATGCTCTCCCAAGACCCGTGCTCCAGCCCCCTGAGCCATCGCCTGGCCCCAAAGTGCTTTGTCTTCCTAACTCCTCCTCCCAAACACATTCCTGGAACAAATTCCCACTAACAGGTGACACTATTAAATTCCCTTCACTTCATCCACTTGGCCACCATGGTGTTTTCTGACAGCAATTCTGTCTCATGTGACCTTTCTTGCCTGTGACTGGAACATCACTTTCTCCAGTGCCACTCAGAAAAGTCCTCAATAAACAAGTGAAAAGTCGTCTGAGAATCACAGCTACAAAAGCATAACAGGCAGAAGAAATTCGGTACTCTTCAATTTCCACCTCGTTGGGCTTTCGGTGGCAGGGAGTCAAACCTAACAGTGCCGGGGCCTTACCAGAGGGCATTCACCCCTCCCCGTCTGGCCCTGAAATCCTGGCTTTTGAAAGACTCACTGAACTAGCTCACCTGAGATACCCTAGCATGGTTTCAACCCCCATTCTGGGAAAAATCCCATTTTCAAGTCCCTGCTGCCAAAGCAGAACCAAGTTGGTGGTTTCTCAAAAACCCGGGGTATGGGGATCCATGAAGACCCAGTAAGGTGGGAATAGAGCCAGAAGAGGCTGAGAGATGGGAAGAAGTTTGGGTCTCATCTGGCCCGGCCCCTCCTCCAGGGCCTTTCCCTAGCCCCTTCCCCTGGCTCTCAGCCCTGCCACTCCCAGCTTCCCCAGCCCACCTGCTGGATGGTAAGGATCTCCACTGTGCACCCACGGGCAGATGCAGATCCAAACCACCCAGTTCCCACTGCTTTGGGGCACCTCTCGGGCGAGTTCCCTCATTGGAATGAAGGCCCTCCTGGGTGTACGCCCCCCCATCCCCCACCCAACTGGCAAAGCCTGGCCTGTGGTTCTGCGGACACTAACACAACCGGCCCCTCGGAGTAGAAACCCCGACAGTACCGTCAGCCTCAGTCACCCCTGTGTACAGGGGTGGGGGCTTTCACCCCAGCTTTCCCTGCCGCGGTGTCAGGGAGGGGGTGGGGGCGGGGAAGAGGCAGCTAACGCAAGCAGAGCCTGGGATCTGAGTTCAGAGCCAGGGTGTGCATCCGCGAGTGGGGGTGGGGAAGCGGACCCGACGCCAAACCACAGATTTCCAAACGCGCCGAGCTGCAGCTTCCTCTTCCTCGGACACGTGACCCCCGCTCCGGCCCCTGCAATAGGCTCCCATTGTTAGCCCGAGTTTGGCAGCGGACAGCTGTCCCCGCCACGGGCTGGCACCGGGGCCTGGGCACGCAAATATTGACGTTAGGGACCAAAGACCAAAGTTGCGTCCTGGCCAAAGGGGGGCTCCTGGGTGTCCCCCACGCCCCTACAGAGGCCGGGGGCAGTGGAGGTCCTGCCCGGGTTGGACCCCTGATCCCATCCCAGATCCAACTGAGACCCAGTTACCCGAGGAACTGACCGGGCTCCCTCCTCCCCAGACCTGCCCACCGCCCCCCGCAGCAGCAACCCCGGGGCCGGAGCAGCGTGATGACCGTGACCAGCGCAACACTGGAGCAGGACAGCTCCCAGGGCGGGGGAGAAGCGGAGGGGGGGGGGAGGCGCTGGGGGTCGCTGGGGGCCTGAGGCAGTCTGGGTGCATCTCTCCCCCACGAAAGATATTCATCACTCCCTTACTTAGCTGCCAGTCTAGGTCATCCTCACTGGAATAGCAGCTTTAAAAACATAAAACTGTTTCAAAAAAACACTTGGCACCATTGGGGTGAAGATCAGATACTGCCCTCCTAAAGCTCACAAGCGGGTCTTTGAAAAAGACATTTAAAAAAACGAGAAAGAAGAAAGTGTTCTGCCCTGCAAAAAAGTTTCCTGTAAAAAAAGGTTGCCGGTAATTTGGATCACTACATTTTAATACCAAAAGAAAAAAAAAAAACCCAAAAAAAACAAAAGGAAAAAAAACCACCTTATTCCTCTGGCCACACTGCACCAAAATAGATTTGGAAGGCAATTCTTGAGATTCTCCGTTCCTCGTTGCCTCCGTGATCCCCCACCCCCCAAATCCTGCCCTCCCCCCAGAGCCCGGCCCTGGTGACCCGAAGAACTGGCCACTGGCCCCCAGCAGGCATCAGGTTCTCCCAGGGGGGTTTGTCCAGGGGTCTATCTAATCACAAAGGGTGGGGGGACCCCAACGAAATCGGAGGCAACAAGGGGACCGGGATGCTCGCTGCCTACCGAGGGCAAACACCGACTCCGCCCCCGGGGTGTCCACTGCCCGCCCTGACCGCTCCTCCCGGCCGGCGCACAGAGTTTCCGCGCGGGGCCTCCGCCTCCTTTGTCTGCCCGCCGGTAAACAGCCCCCCAGCACGCGCCGGTCTCCTCGGCAAACCGGGGCACAAGACCCCCGGGCCGCGTCCAGGCGCCAGGGAGCGCGCGTGGGCGGGGGCGTCTGGCCCCGGCGCCGGGCGGGGCGGGGCGGTGCGGGGCCCCGGCCCCCCTCCCGCCCCGGCCCCACTCACCGCCGTGCAGGGGCAGCGGCGCCAGCACCTGCCCGCGGACCTCGGCCTTGGGCGAGTCGAGCCCGTAGCGGCCGCGGTCGATGCGGAAGGTGAGCGGCGCGGCGCGGCCGGGCTCCTGCACCGTCACGTTGATGAGCGCCGTGTAGTACTCCTGGCTCGCGTTGTCGGCCCGCGCCCGCGGCCACACGCTGCAGGTCAGCAGCGCGAGCGCGGCCAGCCGGGCCGGGCCCGCCCGCGCCGCGCCGCTCATGGTCGCTGGGCAGCCAGACCGGGCTCCGGCCGGCCGGCCCGAGAGGCGGGGCGGGCGCGGCGGCGGCGGCGGCGGCGGCGGCGGCGGCGGCGGCAGCGGGGCGGCGCGGGCGCGAGCACGGCGGCGCGGACGCGAGCACGGCCGCGGGAGCACGGGCACAGCCGCACGGGCACGGCGGCGCGGGCACGAGTACGGCGGCGCGGGGGCACGAACACGGCGGCGCGGGCACGGGCACGGGCACGAGCACAGCCTGCGCGCCTCCGGCCCGGCCCCTCAGCGCTCCCCCGTGATGGCGCCTGTCAGGCCGCGCGCGACGGCCGCTGCCAAAGCCTCGCTCCGGAGCTGAGGAGGTGGGCACCCTCCATTACCCGCCGAAGGGGACAGTTGGGGACGGGGGGAGGGGTAACGGAGCCGACTCCCCGCGAGACGCAGCGTTCCGAACGGTCTCGGCACGACTTAGAACCCCGGCGCCAGGCAGCCGCTGACGCCGACGCCCCGCTCACGCGTGAGGCCCCGCCCCTCAGCGCCGAAGCTCCGCCTCCAGCGCCGACGCCCCGCCCATCGGGGGGCTGAAGCCCCGCTTCCAACGCCGACGCCCCGCCCCATGAGTCGAAGCTCCGCCTCCAGCGCGACGCCCCGCCCCTCGGCGCCTGCGTGTCAGGCCTCCCGGCTCCCGCCCGCCCGCACGCGGCTGCATCTGTCGCTTATCCCCGCTCACCGTGCGAATCGCTCCCTGGGTGTTGGGCCAGGAGCCTACTGGGTTGTTAGCGACAAAGCTACAGAAGAAAAAGAAAAGGAAGAAACAATTTCCGCAAGTCGATTATTGTAAAGTGCGGTGAATGGGGGCGTTTGCCGTGCAGGGACCCACCCGGTTCCATACCCGGTGTCCTGTAGGACCCCAAAACCCTGCCAGGAGCGAGCCCTGGGCGCAGAGCCAGGATAAGCCTAGGGTGCTGCCGGGTGTAACCTCAAAACCAAAAAATAACAGAATAGAAGCGAAGTGCCGTTCTCCGTGAGAGTTATTTCTCCGTGAGAGTTAGCGTCTAAGCTGTCTAAGCTGCCAGCCCGAAGGTGGGTGTCAGGGACCGAGCATCGCCCCGCGGCCACAAGGTATCGCCCGGGCCCCCCACCGGGTCCTGATTACCGCGTGTTTGTTTCAAGTGGCCTCACACGGTCACCCACACCCTGCGTCAGGGCAGATCAGCCAGTGCCCTTGTTTTTTGTTTATTTCTTTGGGTTTTGGTCCCACACCCATTGGTGCTCGGACTCGCCCCTGCGTCTGTGCACCGGTTGTTCCTGAGGATTGGGGACACCGTGCGGGGGCTCCGTCCCGCGTGGGGGGTCAGACCGCCGCAGACAGACGGGCCCTGCCGCTGTGTCTGCTGTTTCCCGCAGCCCCAGCAGAGCAGCTCCATCGCTCCTGGGGCCCTTTTTGGCCCGTTAACGAGCTGCCTCTCTCTGTCTTCTCTGCTGCGTCCTGGGTGTTAGGCAGCTCCTGTCTTCCTTCTTGTTTGTTTCCAGGAATCTTGGGGCTTCCAGATTTCTACCTTGACCCATCGTGGGGTCTTCAGTCGTGGGGGACTTCTTTTCTGTGCCTGAGCTTCTTTTCATGTGTCTGTGATTTGCTTCTCTTTTCTCAGGCTTTAGCACAGCGGGTAGGGCGTTCGCCTTACAGGCGGCCAACATGGCCGACCCGAGTTCGATTCCTCCGCCCCTCTCGGAGAGCCGGCAAGCTACCGAGAGTATCCGATATGCCAGACACAGTAACAACAAAGTCTCCAATGGAGACCTTACTGGGCCCGCTCGAGCAAATCGACGATCAAGAGGAGGGCCTTTACCTTTACATTTTTACCTTCTCAGGCTTTGGGGGGTCACAGGTGCTCAGGGCTTACTGCTGGCTCTGCACTCAGGAGTCACTCCTGGCAGTGCGGGGTGGGGGGGCAGTGGGATGTGGGGTGGGGGATAGTGGGATGCGGGGGTTGTAACCCATCTGCCTGCCTGCAAGACAAGTGCCATGCCTGCACCATGTCTCTAGCCACTCATTTTCTTTTTTCGTTTGTTTTTGTTTTTTGGGTCACACCTGGCACTGCACTCAGGAACTACTCCTGGTGGTGTTCTGGGGAACCATATGGGATGCCCAGGGTGGAACCCCATTGGCCTAAAGGCAAATCCCCTGCTCACTATTGCTCAAGCCCCATCATTTCCATTTTTAAAGCTGAATAGTCTGAGAGGAGAGTTGATACAATTTTAACATCTTGATTTAATGCATATAGGTTTGGGGACCCCTGCTTGGGTTAAGCTTAGATAGTGAAGAAGAATATGTGCACTACATTTGGGGGGCACAGGAAGGACCCTGTATATATCTGTTATATATGTCATCACTTCCATTTCTTTCTTTTTAATTGTTTTTACATTTCTTTCTTCAAGCCTAGTCTTTGTTCTGGAGATATAATGTGCAACATGGAAACTTTTGTCAACAATATTGAATTGTCTATGTCAATCTCTTGAAAAATATAATTTTAAAAGTCTCATTACAAATTATGCGTATTTGCAACTTACTATGAGGTTATATTTTTAAAGTCTCATCATAAAACATAATTCTGTAAGGTGATGTATGTGTTTATCCACTTTATTATGGTCATTTTTATTTAGCTTTTTGGGTCACACCCAGCGAAGCTCAGGGATTGTTCCTGGTTCTGCACTCAGGAATTACTCCTGACAGTGCGCTGGGGGACCATATGGGATGCCGGGGATCGAACCCAAGCCAACCACATGCAAGGTAAACACCTTACCCACTGTACTATCTTTCCGGCCCCTTTATTATGGTCATTATCTTGCACGTATGCTTACACAAATCACTGTACTATATGCAAAAACTTAAGTAATGCTAGTTATATCTCAAAAATTTTAAATGTTGAAACAAAAAATAAAAAGCTTAGTCTTTGCCTAAGGTTAGTTCTTTGCCGAGGTGGTTGCTGATCACCAGCAGTGATAGAAAAGTGTTCAAATCTCCTACACTTGTGTTGTTGTCAATATCTTCCTCCTGGGAGCTGAATGAAAGCATTAAGCCAAAATCCAGGTGGTACTTGGATGTGGTAGAGCCAGGTATGACTTTCACTGGTCCAAGCAAGTCTTCTCAGACCGTCTCTGAATCCACCACATCAGGGGCCGGGTGAGCATACGGTAGGCAGGGCGTTTGCCTCGCACTTGACTGACCTGGGCTTGATCCGTGGCTTCTCGTATAGGCCCCTGAGCACTAGGAGTGATTCCTGAGTTAGAGCCAGGAGCAAGCACAGCCCTGCCAGTTGTGACCCCAAACCAAAAAGAAAGAAATCCTTTCCAGCAGACTTGCCTCCTGCAGCTCCCTCTCCCATCTGTGGGAACCCCATGTCACCTGTGAGCCCCCATGCCATCCCCTAGCTCAGAGCCACATGAGGACAGAAGCCCTCCAGGCGTTGGGGAGCTCCTGGCTGTTAGCTCTAGTGCCTTCTAGTGCCAAGATCAGCTTGTGAAGTTAAGTCCTCGCCCTGGAGTGTGGGGAGCTCCAGCATCAGGGCTGGAACCGGGGTCCCAGGCCAGTCCTGGGAGGCTGACAGGATGATCTGGATTGTCAGGGTGGAAGCCACCCTCCTCTGTTTCCACCTGCTGAGGCCTCCCCTTCTCCAACTCCTCCTCTTCCTCCTTCTCTTGATCTTCTTTTCCAACTCTTCCTCCTGCTCCTCCTGCTCCTTCTCCTCCTCCTTCTGCTCCTCCTGCTCCTAATCTTCCTCCTGCTCCTCCCGCTCCTCCTCCTTTTCCTCCTGCTCCTCCTCCTTCTGCTTCTCCTGCTCCTCTTCCAGCTTCCTCTCCTGCTCCAACTCCTCCTTTTCCTCCTCCTCTTGGTCTTCTTTTTCAACTCCTCCTCTTCCTCCTGCTCTTCCTCATCCTGCTCCTCCTCCTTCTGCTGCTCCTTCTCCTCCTCCTGCTCCTCCTCCTGCTCCTCCTCCAGCTCCTGCTCCTGCTACTCCTGCTCCTGCTCCTCCTCCTCCTGCTCCTCCTCCTCCTGCTCCTCTTCCTCCTCCTGCTCCTCCTCCTCCTCCTCATCCTGCTTCTCCTGCTCCTCCTGCTCCTCCTGCTCCTCCTGCTCCTCCTCTTCCTCCTTCTTCTCCTCCTGCCCCCCCTCAAAAACCCTTCTCCTTTTCCTCCTCGTCCCCAGACTCTCCTGCATTTCCTCCTGCTATTGATCTTCCTCCTCTTGCTCCTCCTCCTGCTCCTGCTGCTTCTCTTCCTCCTCCTCTTTACCCTCTTTCCCTTTTCCCTCCGAGTTGGTGTAGGTTCCCCTCAGGTCCTAAGAAAGCCCCAATCTTAGTTTATTATTTATGTGTTCCCTTTTATTACTTCTCTTTACCCCATAAGCAACCATTCCGAAGCACTTAATGTATATTTTTGTGTCTTCTTGCAAAATGTGTGGTGTGGCTTCTTGTATACCTCGTACTTTTGAATTATTAAGCAGCATCAGTTACAGATGTCACCGTGCTTTTCACTCTCAATACCCAGCACTGGGCGGCTTTGATTTATATTTATTCCATTTCATATTACGTTAATTTCTATTTATTGAAAAAGGAAAATGACCATACCATATGAAAATGCAAAACTCTGAAGAGTACAGCTAATAGAGGTTTAGGGGGCAAAATGCTTCTGTCCCCCACATTTGGATGCAGGGGAGAACATTGCCAATCTTCCAGAAGGTTCCTGGGTTTCTTATTGATGAAGCCACACTTCTGAATTCCATCAACATACTTTGCTGAGGTTTGAACTTTGTAGCCGTTAAACACTACATGTGTGTTCCCTGGAACATCCTTGCATCTTACTAACGTTATTATTTTTTTTTTATGTAGGAGCACTGCTATTGATTCAACCACTGATTAGCTGATTGAATCGTGCATGAACTCCACCTTACTTTCTTTTTCATTTTTTATAACTTTATTTATTGAATCACCGTGAGAGCAGTTACAAAACTTTTGGATCTAATTCTCAGTCATACAATGAAACACCCATACCTTCACCAGTGCCCATTCTCTACCCCCA